CAGACTGCCACATCTTTTTCCTGCAGAGTGGCTCATGGGTTTGAACTGCAGATCTTTTGGTTAGCAGCTGAGTGCTTAACCACTGCACTACCAGAGCTCCTTTGTCTTTATAGTTTAGATTATCAAAATAAAAACAAAACAAGTAATCCAAAGCCAAACATCGAACAATAAAAATTATTTGCAATCTTCATGTCACACTATATATGTATATATACATATATAATAAACATTATACAAATAAACTTTACACCAATTTATAAGCAGTACATGGAGACACTAATAAGTACGTGGGTAAAGGGCCCAAATAAACAATTTACAAAAATGAAATAGAAGTGGTTAATAAGCATTTAAAATGTTCACCTTCAGTAATAACTGAAAAATCAATTTAAAATGAGATACATATTTTGGACTATCAAATTAGTGGCTATTTTAAAAATGATAACTTTTGTTGATATTTTTAATAATAGAGAAAAATTACAAGCAATCTGAATATCCATCAGTGTGGAAATAGTTAAGTAAAATATGCATTAACGTGTTTTTGAAGAATTTTAAACAATAGAAATGCTGATACTATCATGCTAAATTAAAAAAGTAGCATACAAAAGTATGATTTCAATCATGTTAAAATATACATAGAAAATATCAGTAGTTATAGTATGTAATGGAAGATGTTAGAAGTAGGAGAAGCTTGGTGAAGGGCACGTGGGAACTTTATTTTTGCAACTTTTCTGTAAGTCTAAAATTATTTCAAAATAAAAACTTAAAAAACATACATAGAAAAGGGATCAGAAGAAAATGTACCCAAATGTTACCAGTCGTTGCCTCTACATATAAAATTGAGTCACATTTTTCCTTCTTTTAAAAAATGCTTTTCTTTAACAAAATTTTACAGTGTGCGTGTGTATTGTATAATCATTAAAAAAGAATCCTTCACTCTAGAAAACAGAAAAAAATGCTAAACTCAAAATTAAAATGTCATCTGCCGCAATCAATTTGATGGGTGTATCAATACAGTATAAACTCATTGATGTGAATACAGAACAAAAGATACGTATGGGTGGAAGAGAAGATAGAGACATCAGCTGGTTTGGGAAGCAGTTTACAGTTGGAATATGAAGTGTGAGAGTAGGGTAAAGAATAAACCTGATATAGGTTTAGGAACCTGTGACATTGAAAACATTTTATTTCAGTAGTAGAAAGGAAAAAGCAAGTTTCTTGTCAAAAGAGAGTAGATATCTGCAGTAATAGATGTGTTAGTAGAGAATTAGGCTAATTCTCTAAGTTTTTAGGGTGTGTGGGCTTGGGGTTATGGGAATATTCCCAAAAAATTAGTTTTTAATAAGTTAAAATCACTTGCTTTAGATAACTGTCTTCATACTTGTTTTTATCACAGACTCCTTTGTAAGCAACTCTACTTTGTGGTGATTCAGGCCTTTTTCTGAAGAAACAGCTTCTTACCTTAATGAGTGACGAAGGTAATCACCTACTAGAATTAAGTCCCTCTTATCTGAACTTTTCTGTAAAATATTCAATAATAAATAAGGACACATAGAAAAATGAATATATACACTGTGGTGTCTTCAGGAACTGCCCTTGAAAAATCGCAGCATGTCACACTTGTGGTTCTCAAGCTTTTTGCCTCCCAAGACTCCTGAGATGCATGCTAAAAACAAACAAACCCAAACCTGTTGCCGTCTAGTCAATTCCGACTCATAGCGACCCTATAGGACAGAGTAGAATTGCCCCATATGGTTTCCAAGGAGTGGCTGGTGGATTCTTTTGGTTAGCAACTGAATCCTTAACAACTGCACCGCTAGGGCTCTGAGATGCATGATACCCTCCCTTCTATAACAGGAGCTCCCATAGCAGTGACTCTTGGAGAGGTGTGAGGGAGGAGCAGGGGCTGTGTAGTTTGTAAAAGCACATCCCCACCATACTCAAGTCAATTCAGAAACTGTTTTCTTTCTCTTATATCCCTCCACCTTAAGAGTCATGGCTAGAATCATAATCTTTTAGCTTTAACATTTTATCTTAGAGGATTATTGTTTTCAGCCCCTTTCTCATATCGGGACAGAGCCAGAGCTTGCTCCTTAGCTCATCAATTGCTCCTTGGAGAGGGAACGTGGGGCTCTACTTCAAACTTTGCCCCTGAGTCAAGCTACTTAACTTGATGGTTGCTTGGAATTGACCATGCTAGCTTAACAGTTTCTATATTATTCATATTTGTCTCCATAATTAGATTTTAAGCCCCTTGAAGGCACAGACCAGACTTGATCTGTATTTTTACCCTTTTCCAGCTTAGCCTTAATGTTTGAGCAGGTAGTTACTTGATAAATGTTTATTGAATATAAATACCATTTTCCTGAAGGGCAAATTTTATTCCTTCATGAAGGAAAATCTATCCCTTCCTATTAAAAAATAAAAAAAAAGTACAACGTGGCATAAGTGCAAATTAAAATGGAAGGTACAGAATGTATAGCTTAAAGCTAAGCAGCAACTTTGATCTTCTGCTGAGTATTTTAATAAGATTAAAAGGGTTATTAAGAATAGGATCTAAGCGTCTATCTAGTAAGACTTTTAAAAGAGGGTCTAAGAATATGTAACATCTACATGTGCTCCTGAAGGCTCCAAGTACATTGTATTATGTGGGCAGTCCCTGGCAGGAACACCTGATCCTATGAATGTGGTTCAGGAGAATCTGGGTCCAGAGCCTCTGCTCTTCTAGTGTGGAAATTGGTTTGTTCCTCTGTTCTGAAAAAGTACGAAAAACTGGAGACTGACCGATTTACGGGGGCATTTTCTCTTATGCAAATATACAATTTTATTAATGTGCTCATGCCTGGGGCAAACTAGTTTTTTAGGCCTGTTTTTTCATCTGTAAAAGAGAGTAACAATACTTACCTCAAAGGGGTAAGTTAAGGATTAAATTGGCACAGTGCTAACGAGTAGTATGTATCTACTTAATAAACGGTGGTTTTTGTTATTATTCATAAATTCAGATTCATAATTGTGCTACAAATGGTTGCTAAGTGTATTTGAAATGGAATTACTAGTGCCATATTATACTTCAACTACTTTGTAGTCTAGATGGGCTTATGTGAGATGAGAGGGAAGTGTTGCTACCATGTCTAACATTGCTTTATGGGAAAATACTTTCTAACAACTATAAAACTGTCATGCTAGTGGAGTTTGGCAACCACAACGCACACGTAAGTTGAGTGTTAGCCCTTTCCCATGTTACTCATTTAATATTTATCTCTCTTTTCTGGATATTGGCTATTAGGTAACCTAGAAGAGACATCACAATTCTCACCAACTGAAAGAAACCATTTCTGTCACTGTAGCATCCACTTTTTTTTTTTCTTTACTTCCGGTAATTAATTCTTCTGTTGGCTTCCATTTAATATCAAGTAGCTTGCAGGACTTTGACCTTAAGTTAACAAATGACTTTCTCTATAGCCTTTATAAGTCAGACTCCTTGGGTTTGAGTCATTACTCAGTTAAGTCTGTAACAACATTTTATTTTTTAACCCCATTTTCTTTTTGCAGTTTTTACAATGCAATAATGAAAATATTAAACTTTCCAGAAAGTTATAAAAAAAAAATCATAGGAAATAGCATAGATCTTGGCAAAAACCTCATCTGTTCAGGGGACAACACTTATGTACATGTTAGAGTAGAACCGAGAAACTGATGCCACCATCAGCATCGCCACTAACTGCAGAAAATATTCAGTAAACATGCAACTACCTGTGAAACTGTGCTAAGTGTTATGATAAGGGGACGACATCAAGAGCAGTGACCAGGAATTACTTGTAAGATTTGGCAGAATAAAAACATTAAGCAAACGTCTATATACATGGGCACTGTAATTTTCATTCCACTGATGTGTGGAAAAAGTTAACTATGTGACTAGAAAAGAGATTAGGGCTTTCATGTCTTGTAAGTTTGATACACAATAGTAACAGTGTGATTATGTTCTTTTGAATTTGTCAGAGGATAGAGCATTTCAGTTTTGGTGGCCACCAGGACAGGATAGCAGGACAGAGGCAGGAAGAAGGATGGCTGTTATTCTTCAGAGCGGGTTCTTGGGGGCAGACCCAGATGCCTTTAGTGAGCCTGACTATAGTGCCTGAGGCAAGCTCATGCCTCCTGCCACATTTCACAAAGTACCACTGGCAGCAGCTGTGACTGGGATAGGAGCTGTGGAGGGGAACACCAATTCCTTCATGCATTTACCTCTAGGGCAATGTGTGGCTGCAGGGACAACAAAGAGGAGCCCCAAAGCCAGAGATAACCAAGATGGAACTTGGAAAAATGACTTAGCACCAAAAATCACCTGAGAGAGGAAAAATAAATTTTATCTAAAAACTGCTTTGAATTTCTATGTTTCCAAGTGCATGTGTTAGCAACAAAGCCTATAGACATTTAAATAGGATTTTCAAGCTGCTAGTTTACACAGACCTTCTACTTTAGCTTAAATGAGTGCCTCAATTCACTCATTATTCATTTCTGCAATTGAAACAAAGTCTTTATAGCTTTTCTTAAAGCACACTGAGGATTTATTTGTATTAACATTTTAATTCTGCTAAATGCCGATGAATACTATGCCTTATCTTTACTTTTCTGTTAGGAAATTGTCTAAAAGACAATGTTTTATTGTAAAATTGAACAATTATATCATATGCTTGTATTTCCAGAAGCCAAGAAGCTTTCTGTATCTCTATATATCTACATCAGTATCTGTATTTTTATCTACATCTATTGGCCAGTGGTCACACACGCAGTAATACTGATACTATAGAAAATAGAAATTGACATGTTTGGATGGAGTTCATATAAGATTAATGTTTATATAAAAGTTAAATTACACACATACTTAAAAACAAAGACTGCAATAAATGAAGGTAAAGACAATAAAACTTTTTCTTCTACTCTAAGACAGACATAGCTGATCAAGATCCCTCTGTTCATTCTCGAATCTTCTTCTTCTGTAGTTAGTCTCACTCCTGCAGGACATACACCAACACTGGAACATTACAGAAAAAGTTAGCATAGCCCCTGTGCAAAGAAGGCTCACAAATTCGTAAAGTTGCCATATTTTTGTATCATTAATTACTTCTTTCTTTGGGTTCCCATGGCACACTGTACATACATTAGCAGTCATCTTACGTACTATTTGTTTACTTCTATGTCCCTCTCATGAAACAGAATTTCTAAGGAAAGAAAATTTATTTTTTGTTTCCATAGTGGCTAGCTGAGTGCCTGACTTCTAAACATCACTGAGAAAAATGAATTAATTAAAAAAATGAATTACGTTTTAGTCTATGTGTAAGAAATAAGCAGCAATTCTTTGTACACATCATGCTATCCCAGCAATTGATTCTGCTACAGTTAATCCTTTTCTTATCTCCTCACCTTGTCATCTTGATGGAAGAAATCCTATTTTAGTGTTTTGCCCACATGGCCACCTCCTGTTGATAACTAGTGGGCACAACTCAGTTTGATGATGGACAGATGGACAAGCCTGCTGTTGTTCTTGGCCCTAAGACTGTTTCTGCCTACTCTCTCAGATGCATCAAATATGCCTTCCTTCCCCTTTTCTTTTTGCATGACTGTACATATTTGCTTCTAGAACTTGTATACTGTAGATTGCTGTAATTGCAATATTAGAGACAGTACACAGCCTCAGCAAGATAGGTAAGCAGAAATATTTTGAAAGATGCATGTCATTTAACACAAAATAAGTGGATTCCATGAAAAAGAGGCCATAAAACACTGTTATTATTAAACTGAAGAGTGATAGACCCTCCCTCTTTCTCATTTACCATAGTGGGATTGATTGTTGTTGCTAGAAGAGAAATAAAATTGCAGCATATTCTTGGAAAAAGTGATCCAGATTATGGTATCAATTTGATTTGTTAAGCTAGATGATTCCAGAGAATTATAAATTGACTTGACAGCAATGGGCTTTTTTTGGTACGTACGTAATAGTAGTTGCTTCAAATTTGCAGTGTAAACTAGAGTTCCATAGATAAGATATTGGCATGCCACTTAGTTTTTTAAATCATATACAGTATTCAAAAAGCAGTTTAACATAGATATTTTCTTTACTAGAAAAAGGGAAATGGAGGCACTTTACATATTTTTTCCATGTAATCCTCAGAACGATACTGTAAAATAAGTTTTATTATGATTATTTGGGCTCAGAGATATTAAATAATCTATCACTGTAAAGCTAGAAAGTGACAAAACTATGATTTAAAATGAAGTCTTTTTGACTCTTAAATTTATCCTCTACTTAGTATGTTGGATTGTCGATATTTAGTCAGTTCTCAAGGAATTTGGGTATTTATTATGTACATGGTAATATTTTGAAAAAACTTTCAGTGATTATGAGCTATGTCTTGGATGCCAATTACAAATATTTCTGCTAAATGAGTTGAGGTACTTGTCCCCTTTTTCAGATGAGTAAATGGTTTGACTGAAAACATGATTCAATAGTGTGATATAGTGGAAGTGATCTCTGAATTTTTGAAGATTAGGCCATAAAGCAGAGTGCTTCCATGTTTCACAAACCAGGAATTACTGGAATTACTGGTTTGAAAGTCAAAGTTAGTCCTGGCTACATTGTTTGCCTAAAGGGTCCAGGCCTGAGCTAGCATGGTAGAGTCTGGACCAGAGCTCTTAGTGTTGTTCTTGTTTTGACCCCAATTCATGGAACACCAGTGTTCTCTGGACTGACTAAGGGGACTGAGGTTAGAATCAATCCAGCCTTCTGGGACTCTCTTAGTGTCTTAGTCATCTAGTACTGCTATAACAGAAATACCACAAGTGGATGGCTTTAGCAAAGAGAAGTTTATTTCCTCACAGTAAAGTAGGCTAAAAGTCCAAATTCAGGGTGTCAGCTCCAGGGGAAGGCTTTCTCTCTCTGTCAGCCTTCTCATCAATGTTCCCCCGGACTAGGAGCTTCTTTGCACAGGAACTTCAGGTCCAAAAGATGTGCTGTGCTCCCGGCACTGCTTTCTTGGTAGTATAAGGTCCCCTTGTCTCTCTGCTCGCTTCTCTCTTTTGTATCTCAAGAGATTACCTCAAGACACAGTCCAAGGTTGTAGATTGAGTCCTGCCTCACACAAAAATGCTACCCATCCTCCCTCATTAACATCATAGAGGCAGGATTTACAACATGTGGGAAAAATCACACAATACCGGGAATCATGGCCCAGCCAAATTGATACACACATTTTTTGGGGGACATAATTCAATCCATGACACTTAGTGAATATCAGTTTGGGATTCGATTTTCTGGAGCCCATTGGGATCATTCCTGTGTTTATCTCAGACCCTAGGAGAACCCTAGACTGTCCTTCCCTGTGGAGCAGGACAACACAAACCCTGAACTTCAGCTGGCTGTGTCAGCATTCCTCCCTGGCATGGTGGCATGGGGCATACTGAAGAGTAGTAATCCTGTGTACTTTCCTCCTCCCTCCCTCAAATATGAGTCAGGCTCACTTTCTCAGGATGAAAGGACAGACTATACAACCAACTGCTTGTACCTTGTAACTAAGTCATATAGTTGCTAAAATGCAGAATAATTCTGTGAAGTAACAGAACTGCCAACTGTTGATCCTAGTTTTCTTGGGTAATGCAGACAGGGCCGGAGGCAATTTCTAACTGTTTTAGATGATGACTTTTCCCAAAAAAGCAGCTTCAATTATAGTACGTCTAAAAATGAGAGTTAATTAAGACAGAATTTTCAGTTGGTTAGGTAAAATGTGACAAGTAAGTTTCATACCAACTGAGTTATGAAGATGATTGTAATATTTGGAAACTGTGATTTGAAAAGTGGCTCTGGACTAATTACAATTCCAAAATGTGGGCATGATTTTCATGATGAGGAAATATATCATTACATTAAAATAGATGGTTATTTCCATACCTCACCCTTTTTTCATATGTCTTTAAATCTGTATGTTTTCCTATAATTTAAATTTTAGTGGTTAAGCTATATTTAAAATAATACTTTTCTGTTAGTGAGGGAAAAGTCACCTTTAAAAAGTTTATTCAGTAGTATAATTTATTTCAGGACTGGATTTGAGCCCAGCTCCTATTAATGAAGAGTATTTTCCTTTCTTTTTCTAGGACAGTGAAATTAAAATAATCTGTTTTGTCTATTTCCAGTCATGACACCTTCTAGGCTTAGGTAAATAAACCGAACTGAAAAATAACAGGCTAACCATCCCTGTCTATCACTGGGCTCGAAGCTATTGTTTCTCTTTTCAGTGTTATATTCATGAGCATTAATATGAAAAGTCTCTGTCAAAGGTTTGCTTTTTGTGTTTTGATTGCTTTAGCGTGGAAATTTAAATACTGAATTCCAGAAATGGATTGAAGAGGCAGTGGGCTATAATGAGAGGGTCCTGGATGAGGAGTCAGGAGGCTGGCTTCTGGTTTTGATTCTACCACCGCATATGTGCTTGCCCGGAGAAAGTAACTTTAAATTTATTAGCATCAGGTTTCTTTGCCTTTAGAACCAAGATGGCTACAGTAGGTTAAGATGACAAATAGACATCCCCTTGCCTGCCAGCTCTGATTAATTGGTAATATCTTCCTAGAGTGCTGTGTTGAGAATGTTGGGTGAAGCCCCTTCCAGACCCAGTCAGAAGGAGGACTGGGGGCCAGACAGCCACATATTTGTCATCCTAATTAAGTATAAGAGCTGGAATTTGAATCCAGGAAGTCTAATCTAATTCCAGAATTCATACTTTTCAGTATAAAAATCTGAATAACGAAAGTCCTTGAAAAGTCTGTCAGAGGTTAAAGAATGATAGAATTTTAGAACTGGAGGGAAATTTATTGATTGTTTAGTCCAAACTGAAAACCAAACTTGTTGCAGTCGAGTCGATTCTGACTCATAGCGATCCTATAGGACAGAGGAGAACTGCCTGATAGGGTGTCCAAGCAGAGGCTGGTAGATTCGAACTGCCAACCTTTCAATTAGCAGCTGAGCTCTTAACCACTGCACCACCAGGACTCCTTGTCTAGTCCAGTGGTTCTCAAACCTGATTGCCCATTAGTATCACTTGAGGAGCTTTTGAGAAATTCGTATGTACCACTGCAGGAGACAGTGAAAGTCTGCATTCTGCATGTAATTGGTCTGGGCTAAGAATCTGCCTCAGAATGGTTTTAAAGTTCCTTAAGTGACTGCAGTGCACCCAAAAAGTTGCTATCTAGTTGATTCTGACTCATAACAAGCCTACAGGACAGAGTAGAACTGCCCCATTGGGTTTCCAAGGCTGTAGTCTTACGGAAGCAACTGCCACATCTTTCTCCTGAGAAGTGGCTGGTGGGTTGTGTTCAAACCACTGGCCTCTCAGTTAGCAGCTGAGCACTTTAACCACTGTGCCATGAGGGCGCCTCACAGGGAAATTTAAATACCATTGATCTAATCTCACCCTCATTTTACAGATGGGGAAACTGAGATCTCAAAAAATTAGCTACTCCTTTCTGGTTTGGCTCCTGGCATTCTGCATATTGTTTCTTACTCACCCCCTTGGTTCTCAACTATATAAGGGCAGGGGCTGTCTTAATCCATTTGCTACATAATAAAGGTTTATTAAATGTCTATTGTTAAACAGCTATTGTAGTAAGGAATAGAGAACAACTGAAGGCTTTTGACCAACAAAGTGTTTTAGGGGAATTCATTATTAGGAAGGATAAGGCAAAGAGATTGGAGATAAGATCTTCCTGTTGCAGTCTTCCTGTAGGGCCTTAGTATGGAAAGTGTGGTAGGGACCAGAGGCATCAGCATCACTTGGAGGCTTGTTAGAAATGTACTTAGGCCCCATTCCAGACCTACTGAATCAGAGTCTGCATTTTAACAACACCCTCAATGATCAAAAAGAAGTTTGAGAAGCACAGCTGTAGGATATCATATAATCAGTGACTGAGCAAGTCAGTTTTTCTTCAAGCATATTCCTTGAGACACCAGTTCTCTGGGATCTTAACAAATGCTCAGTGGTCAAAAGGATTTCGAAAACACCAGGTCAAACAAAGCTAAACAGGTTTCCTTATAGCAGGGCTTCTTTTATCTTTTAATATACTA